GGGGACGCCGTCCGACCGCTCGACGCGATTCGTATTCGTGAAAGAATCGATGCTTTCGGGTTAGGCAACCTGGTCTTCAGCAGTCCACTCCAGAAACAGTCTCTCTCTTTAGAGAAAGAGAAATGCTGGCAGCTCAGATTCCCAGGCCACGGTCTACCCTCAAGAACGCCTATTGACAAGTACGCTCTGTACCGGCCGTCGATACACGGCCGGCAAACCAAGGCGTGATGGATGTACAACTCTATGTTTGCGAATATGCTGCAAAATCAACCAACCCACCCCGGCCCCTCTCCCGCATAAAATTTGTACCGCGCGCAAGGAGGTCAACTGCTTGCACCTAGACCCCCATGAGTACTTCTGCTCTGTGCTTAGAGGAAGTTAGACCCACTAAACCTACTCTTGAATTCATGCGCGGATCCAAATTCCCAAGCAAGCACAAATGCATGCTGTGCACACACGTGACACAAACGCGTGAAAGCGCTGAAGATTATGTTGCCATGCGAAGCATCTCAACGGAAGAGCCGAATGAGGAAATGGAGAATTGAAGAAAGACCTTTTCTTTCATTTTCCCTGTGTTGTGTCCCAAGGTGTAAGGATTCCTAGGTTTGCACTCGAGAGATTGAGGTTGTTTACCTAACAATCTCATTCCCAGAGCCGGATGCGATCGTTTTGGTCAGCAACAAGGATCCCCGAGGCTCTCAGGATGAGGGCTTGTGAGTGTTTACGTCAGCGTCGCTCGAGTGAATCAGTAAGGCTGCCAGTTTTAACGTGGCAAAAATAAGAAGTTAAACGCAATAACACGAGGCCATTGAAAAGCAATGAAGAGGAATTCCATCAAGAAATGCGGTTGGCATTTTGAATTTTAAAAATCTAAACACTAGCACACGCTACACGGCTTGATAGTTAAAACAATCCTCCCATAGTATGGATCCTCCCATAGTATGGATTTCCCTTCGAAAAAAAATCTTTAAAAAGTGCGATGTCGGTAAGAAAGTATGCCGGTGATTTTTTTTTCAGGCGCATGCGCTAAGATGAATGCTATGGAGTTGTTTTTAGAGAGCTACACGCTATTTTTAGACTTCAAAACTAAACAATTCGTTTTTTTACATTGACAGTAAAATTAAATAGGTTTCTAAAACATGAGAACCCGGGTTAAATCATCTGAAGAAGGATGCTTGTTGATGAATGGTCTCAGCGTTAGCCAGGCCATACTTTCTAATTCTCTCGCCTTATTTTTCTTTTCCTCCAGGTCGTCTCTTTCACCGATACAAGCCAACTGCTCCTGCTTAAGTTCCTTTGTTTTAGTTGACATTAAATTTACAAAAGATTCTTTTAACTCGGCAAGCTGGGACTCCGTTAGTTTTTCCAACTCCTCGTAGGTGAATTTCGTTTCCGTTTCCGGTTGGAATAAACCTGCAAAAAGTTGACGAAGAAATCCGAACGGGCTGACCACACCACGCGACTTCACATTAAACTTCTTCAGTTTTGCTTCAATATTTCTTCTTTCCAATAAATAGCTTCGGATTCTGGCGTAAAATGTTGTCCGTCGTTTGTTCCTGGCTTCACAAGTTTTACAAGTTTCACTTCTTGCTTTCACAGGGGAACGAATCTCCACTACGCAGCTCGACTCATTTTGGTACACAAATTCTTTCATCGCAAATGCGGCAGACTGATCCGCTTTAAGAAACCTGCCAGAATCTGTCATGAGCAACTTTCAGAGGCAACTAGGCACTTGAGTTGTCCATGCTTTGTTCATGTGGGGTCGTTCGGTGCTGTCGGTGACGTCATAAATAACGGGAGACGTCAAGCGCGCGCAACAATAGCCGGTAGAACAGTGGATAAGTATTAGGGATTTAGGGCAAACCAACTGTGCTATCCACTGGATGGAGATTTATCCAGTGGATAGCGCTATCCACCTATTGAACAACTGCGGCCAGAAATTTTTTTTTCGCTTTTTTTCAGGCGAGCGACTTCAGGCGCGTAGGAAGCGTGGAGCACGAGGCACAAGCGACGGAGGAAGTTACTATTTTTCTACGTCTACCCCCGTCACGCGTGTCTCGCGCTTCTCGCCCCCTAGCGCAGCAAAAGGTTACTTCGAAGGCAGAGACACGGGCGGTAATGCTCTTGTGCAACAAAAATGGTTCAAAAAGTCGGCATTCTGTCAAGTTGAAAATTTGCATTAAACATGAGAGATTTTCAATTATTTAATCCGCTAAAAAGGACAGCAGTCTTACGACCCCGGGTTCATGAAAGTCATCAAAACAACAGACGCAACGTAAATATGAAGAGCTACTTTTAATTCTACGCAAAGGTTTCGTGTTAGAGAAGAATATACAGTGCAAAAATAGGGCGTTATGATACAAAAAAGCGACAAGATCCGGTTGAAAAAAAGTAAGTTGTTATCTGACTCTATCCCATCTCCACAGTGTGCCATCATCACAAACAGAGATTAAAATCCTGTAGTCAAAAGAGAAACCAAAAAAAGACAAACAAATTAAACCGAAAGAAGTCAGTGGTTTCAGAGAAAGAATCTCTTTGTTTTCTTTAAGAGTCTTTTTAATGTGCAGTTGCCAACCTTGAAATACCGATGCACCTCATATCAGCTAATCAGGATAAGGCGCTTGTTCAGTTGTTGATTTGTTTTTTTTCCCGGTCAAGCAACGCATGTGCTAAGGTAAAGGAGAAAGGGCCTGGGCTAAACTGGCTTGGTTTGACGAGGGCCCGAGGTGACTGTAATCCCTATAACTAGGCTGATTTAGCAACAGGACGGGAACGTCAGTTGACGACGGGAAAGCGCGCGGAAAGGACTAAACACGACTTACGGTGTTGCCGCTCTGCCATTGGTCAAGCCAGTTGTTTGATTTGCGCGCGCCGTCGTCAACTGACGTTCCCGTTCTGTTGCTAAATCAGCCTATTATGTGTAGTGAGCCAGCCCAGAGCCGCCATATTTACAAACAGAATTAAGGCAGTGCGCATGACTCCTATTGAGAGTACCTGGTTCCGAGCCGTATATGTCACTGACTTAAAGAAAAAAAAAGAGATCTTTCTTACTTACTCAACAGGCTAAAAATTCCCCATCACATTTCTATTCTTCTCACTATTGTTCGTGAAGGGTGAGGGTGATAAAAGAGACGCTTACTCGAGGAAATGAAGTATTGTTAGACAAAAAAATCACCTAACTTTGATGCCAGTTCCTCAAAAGTAAAGACAGTAAGGGATAATCGAGGTTTCTGAGTAACTGACCACCCACCCCTCCCCTAAGTCAACATTAACACTTACTTCTCACTTAAGGGAAAATGTTGGCTTAGGGGAGGGTTAGGTGGTCAGTTTCCCAGAAACCTAAATTGATCTTGTTGCCTTTCACTAACCTGCCATCTTTGCTGAAGCCCGTCTGCCTAATGGCTGAAACACACTTGTTGTGAACCAACGTTGTTGATCTGGGCAAATAAAAAACTC